AGAGAGAGAGAGAGAGAGAAAGAGTGAAGAAATAAACGTTACAGAGTTTTAGAGCTCTAATAGTAACCAACCGTGACACGATGCATGTACACCGAGATTGCTAATCGAATTTGTATCCCGTGTAATGGAAAGTTAGCAAATTCACTTTGCAAATGCTCAATTGCATACACACGAACGTCAATTGTGGTTATCCTCGAAAAGTTAGAAGCGAATAAACCACTAACACCGATTAAGAATTAAAAAATCTAATCTCTCCAAAAACTTGCCAACACGCTCCTTTGACTTTAATATTATATAATAAACTACGATATAATAAACGTGCGAATATCTAGAGAGAATATTTCTACAGTGCGGTTACACGAGGAAAGGAATAACTTTACGCCCAACGTCGAATTATGTGTGCATACGTTGTACATCACGTCGATGTTTGTTTTCTCGACGAAGAATACGATCTTCTACTAGTGCGGGTGCACGTGGAACCCTGCCAATTCTCGCAAATAGCGCGGGTAAATCCAAGATGTCACGCTATGATTTCGCGATGGCTTGCGCGAAGAATTTATCATTGGAATTCGTTAATAATCTCCCGTGACACGTCCTCCATAAATTCCAGACGTATCGAGGATTCCATCTTTCACTTTCTCGACGACTGTCCGATCCCGTATCGTCCATGTTTTCGAGGTCGTTGACGACGTGCGACGAATGCCACTTTCGTTTCAGGCCACGTGCCGTCAAATATCGAAAAACCCTTGAGGGAGATCGTCAAACTTCGAGGCGAGCCGTTTTTGTGGCCGTTTCAATATCAACTTGCGGTATTGATTAAAAATATTGAAAAAAGAAGGAAGGGAAGAAAAAGAAACTTCGCGAGACTGAGTTTTTAATTTCTGAGTTTCGAGCTTCGCCAAAGAGTGGCACAGATACTGTTTTCATGTATGTTTGTAAATTTGTACATCTTAAAAAAAGAAAAGGAAAAAGTATCAACCGACGTTTAAAAGTATATTTTCCATTCGAAAAAACGGAAGTCTGTGGAATACAGGGATGAAAGATTCACGCGTAAATCTTACATGAGATTCGAAAAGATATTTTTTTTTAAATCGTTATGATCGATGCGTGATTTCGAAACTTACCCTTCGACGAGTCGTTCCACGTGTCAGCCCACAGGGGCTGTGGCAGAGGATCTCAGTCACGTTCTGACGAAAATTACGAGTCATAAAACAATACACGGTGGGATTCAATGCGCTATTCGCGTGTCCTAGAAACAGGCAATAGGAGATAGCATTGTTCCACCCTTCCGCTTCTCCGTTCTCCGTCCCTCTCACACCTGCGAACAATTTCGAGACTTTTATAATCGAAATTTCGTCGATTCGAGGAAGGAATCGAGCGATGGAGTGTTCGATGATCTTTCGTTCCTTCGCTGATACGAATTCAACGAAAGTGTTGATCAAACTTAGCTAATTAATTATTCTCAAATAAAGAGAAATGGAATTAAATCATTGGTGTTTTATCAATATTTATACAAGTATCGAGAAGTAGCGATTTTCCAGCACTTTTATAAAGAATTATTAGAGCCAAGTCTCTTAAGAGCATTAAAACGTTGCAATTTCGTGGCCTTATATCGAAGTTCGATTTCTAGGAAGGATAAAGCGACGTGTTCGATGATCAAACAAAGAGAAATTAAATTATTAGTATTTAGTATCAAGCATCGATCGAGAAATGATGATTTTCCAACATTTTTTATAAAGAAGTGATTACTCACTGATTATATCCAAGTCTTTCAAGAGCATTAAAACGTTATACGGGAGCCAGCAGAGGGCAAAAAGCACAGCCAGAAGAAGAAGTATCCAAGCGATTCGCCTTCGCTCACGTACCAGCCTGAAACTCTGCGAACAGAATGCAGTTGCGCCTTGCAGTTGTAAACGTTAGCTAGATTTAGATCAACATCGATTCATCGTCTAATCGTCGACAAGAGGAGTACAAAGGCGAGCGGATATATCCGGTTCGACAAAACCGGGGGGATAGAAATGAAAATTTACAACGCGGCTGTTCGGCATTTCCTCCGTTCACGAGCTAGAAAATCAAATAAGTGACGGTAAAAATAAAAAAGAGAACGAGAGCAGAGGATAATTTTCCTTTTTTTTTCTCGATATATAGCACGAAGCTCGGCTCAAAACCGTTTCTTTTCCTCGAATTCTAATTATTTCCGTATCGCACCTCGGTTGAATAGGCCTTAACGAAGCAAAGTTAGAAAATTAATAGGCATCGTTCGATCGAGATATGGATTTAATTAAATACTCTACTAAAGCGCGCGTATCAATCCTTGCCACGACGCCAATCCAAACGTCTGGCGTTAGACGATTTTTCCTCTTAAACGATCTTCAAAACCGTTGCTCGTTGTCTTTTTTCCAACTAACCTGTTGCGAGCTGGCGCTTCCCTGGGCACCGTCACAATCGAACGGCGGTTTCCTGGCGCACAGTGTTCGCCCCATCATGATGTACGACAGCACCACGACGAAACCTGTGTAGTGAAAATCGAGAAATCGATCCTCGTTTCACCCTTTCGAAACGTTCGAGTTGAATTTGTTATTAATCGCATGCTCTTACCGGGAATAGCGTAAACCAGCACGAAGCACATGGTGCCGAAAAGCGGCGCTTCGATACCCACTGATTTGAAATCTTCCAAGCACATGTAGAAATACAAATCGGTGGAGATATTCTGTGCGAAATCCGACCCGTGAAAGGATATGTTTCTAAGTATCATGATACCTGGATTCTGAAGGGATGTCTGGAAGAAAAAAAAAAAGGAAGAAGACACACATTCGTCGATCTTCGTAATTTTCTTTCATTCGTCGATGAAGAACAATGATGTTTAATGAAGATGAATATGAAAAGAAAGATTGGTTTCTTCTTTTTTTTTTTTTTTTTTTGTTTTGCGAATGTTACGTAAAAAGAGTGCTTTTGCAAGAACATCTCCAAAATAATACTAACCACTCTGAGAAGAGGAGCAAAGATGATCAAAGCGACCACCCAGAGAGCTATGATAACGAAGACCGTGCTCTTGCGGTTGAAAACTCGTCGAAACGCTATGGGGCTTCTTATCGCCAAATATCTGTCTATGCTCATCGCGGTGATAGTAAAAACCGAGGCAGCTACCGCTACACCTGCGAAATTTCGAATACGAATTTTACCCATATCAGGGTAAAATGTTGGAACACCGGTTAATTAAAAGATTCTTGAGAGTTAATTTTGAACAACGTTTTCCTTTGCGAAAATTATTAACGAAAAAGGAAAACGGAGCGCATAGAGTCCTAGTAACATGCGTCGAAAATCGGTTGAGAATAATTATTTTATTCGTAGATATAGAACGAATAAATTATCGAATCGAATTTATTCGAAATGAACGCAATCAAATTGTAAAAAGGCGAATATTAAATTTTTCTAGTAAATCAACGATAAATAATGCATATTTGAAGGATATTTGGAGGAAGAGGAGAATTATAAGGAAAGGGAAGGATGATAAAGGAAGAGAGACAGAGTGATAGAAAGGAAAAGAAAGAAGAGAGTGATAAAGAAGGGTGGAAAGAAAGGAATGATAAAAAGGTTGAAATTACCTCAAGAATCTTCTCCGATTAACTAGTATTAATCGGTTTGGAGGGATATAGATATAGATGTACGAAATATATCAAAGAAATTGTCATTTTAAAATCACTGTTTTATATATATATGTCCGTCATAAATTCGATCCTCCGATGAAACGTTCAATTTTTATTGGATTGGAATCTTAGTAGTTGAACGTGGGTGGTAAGGTCGTCGTCGTATAAAGAGAGAAATTAAAATTGAGCCCGAGTTGTCGAGGGAAACATTGAACCGTAATAAACGTGGATGTACTCGTGCGTGCAAGAACGCACGCACACATTTCACAACAAGAATCTTTTCTTATGTATGTATCGCCCACGCCACCCGAAAGGGGGAGGCGTTGTATCGAGGCTTCGAGACGTTCTCATTCATGTCACCTTACATTTCCGCCCGAGAGTTGGATAAAATAGAGATATTCATCTAAAAATATCACAAAAGAGTCATCGACGAAAAGCGATATTTATAACAACGTGGAAAGATTCTAATCTGAAATTTCAATCGGGCGTAAAATGAAAGACAGATTGTTACAAGATCGTTGGAATTACCCTGTAAGTAGAAGGAAAGTTTGCACATTATTTCCCCGTGGATCCATTTCATCGAGACCGCCTGGCTGACGGCAACCGGCATGCAAATCGTGGTAACCAAAAGATCCGCCACGGACAGATTAACCACGAAGTAATTAGTCACGCTGAAAATGAGAAAAGAATTCTTCTTTTTTAAATGAAGTGAATCTTCGTGCTCGCGTCAATCCACACGTCGTAAAAATTTATTGATTTTTATAAAGCACACAAGAAGATAAGATGGACTTTGGTAGCAACTTAGGACACCAACATTGGATACTCACGATTCCCCGAAATACAAACGATTTTTTATTAATATTCGGATTCTCGAACAAGCAAACGAGAAATTTTTTTTTTTTTACGTTAAAAAATATACACACGGTGTTTTCACCATGGCTCGAGGAGGCGACGAATTTTATGCCGTGTCAGAAAATAAATAATTCGCTCGTTAAACATTCGTTTGGAGAATTTTCGAGGAACGCGCACTCTCTGGATTATTGTTATCGTTGCAACGCGTTGTTGGTTAATATCAAAGTTTTCGTGCTCGTATTCACAGGGAACCCTCGCGAGGCGAGCAAAGAGGGCAACAATTTTTGCTTCATAAATAAATCGTGACGTTCGTTCACGTATCCCGACGAGTGCAAGCCGATCGCTTATTTGCACGGATGCTTCATTCGTTGTCGAGAGAAGTAAGCACGCACGCTTACGTTTCTCCGTCTTCTACGAGCATGCTCGAGCATTGTCGCGATTTTTAACACGTCCGCGTAAGTGAAATTTCGATCCATCCGATCTTGATGAGAAAAAAAGAGAAATCGCAAAAAGATATAAATATTAATTAATTTAGAAAATTATAGACAACGAATAGTGACGTTTAATTAATTCAAAGAAGAATATCAATCAGTGATTATTAAACAAATTTTAATTAAATTTTATTAAAATCATGATTCGTTTTTTTTTTAATTTTTTTTTGTTTCAATTCGTTAAAACAAAAAACCACGAGATAAATAAAATTATTAATTTTTCATTCTTTTACATGACGATACGTGCAAACCTCGACTCTTTCCTATTAATAAACTCGATTTACGCTCTATTGTTTACTATATTATTTACATTCCCTTGAAACGCGTTATTATATTTACTATATTCGTGCATCTTCGATTGTACGCCCTGACCCTAGTTTATACAAGAGTTAGTGTCAATCTAATTAATCGTCCCTCAACGTCTGTTTAGAGTTACGTTATAGTTTTACGCAAAGTTCTTTCCAATGAAACTGGGTCAGGTGTTTATCACGAGAATCGTCGTGAACGCGTTTAAAGAACCGAGAATGATAAACGATTCACAATGGATGACGCGCAGAGGCTTCATTGCCATTATTTTGCGACACGATCCTGACAATCTTTTTCGATAAACGAAATTGGAAATTGTAAAAGAAAAAAAAAAAGGATAATCTTATAACGAGCCTCGCCTCGTTATAATAATATAATTACAATTAAGTTCATTCAGCGACAACTCATGAAAAAAAATTTAACAGCAAGCGTGAAAACCACGACAAAGCATCACCATTTTCATCGACCGTTTTTAATCGACCGGTCGTCACATAATTTAGTCGAATCTCGGTTGGGAAGTTCGTTCCACAATGAAAAGTCTCGCAAAGTTTAAATTACTACGAGCAGGGGAGTCCTGTCTTCTATAACGTTCCTCGAAACTCTCTCTCTCTCTCTCTCTCTCCTCCCTCCTCTACCAACCGTTAACTT